TGGGTCAACCCTGCGGATAAACAGGCCTGCAGGAACTCCAGAACTGTACCAAACGGGCAGTTAGCTGGGTCGAGCTGGCGGTCTCCGCACCAAGTAGTACAGTTTCCTCATAGAGGGAGCTCTGGATGGAGGATGGTCTCAACAACCTCGGTTGAGAGACCAGAAGCTATGAGTTGTGCCTCCTCAGAGGCCACACCCACAGCTCTGGGCGGGGGCACGCCCTCCACCTGTGAGAGGAGATCTCTCCTGATGGGAATCTCCAATGGAGCGCCGTCGATGAGAGGAATCAGGTCTGAGAACCACTCGGCCCGGCCAGAACGGGGCTACTGGCAGTCGACTGACCTCGTTCCAGCGCACCCTCTCCAGAACTCCCAAGAGCAGAACAATCGGGGGAAAGGTGTACAGACGAAGCCTCGGCCACGTCTGTACCATGGCATCCAGCCCCAGTGGAGCTGGATGAGTCAGAGAGAGAACCAGAGGGGACAGTGCGATATCATCTGAGTCGCAAACAAGTCCACCTGAGCCTGGCCAAAGACTCTCCAAGTCTGCTTCACCCCTCGGGGTGAGGCATCTATTCCCCGGGCCTCGGTCCCTGCCTTGACAGGATGTCTGCCCCCACATATATAAAAGACCACTACTGTGTTGTCGGTGCGCACCAACACATAGCGATCTCTTATTCCTGGGAGGAAGTGTTAACTTATGCGCCACGTGAGATGGCGGCCGCTCCACAGGCCGCGGGCCGAGCGGCCACTCATGACCGCTCCCAACCGGTGAAAGATGCATCCGTCACTAGCATATGCGGCGACCAGGAGCTCCCAGCACCAGGCCCTGACATAAGATCCAAGGTTTCCTTCACATGTCTAACTAACCGCACCGCCGCGTGACCTTGAGCATGTGAAGCGGGTTTCCCCTCTGGGAGAACCCCTTGGTCTTAAGCCACCACTCATGTCTCATGTACAGCAGGCCAAAAGTAACCACGTTGGACGTGGCTGCCATCAGACCCAGCAGTCTGGAACTGCTTGACAGTGAGTGACCGGCCTTCTCTCACTCTTGTGACGAGGATCGACTCGACCCGAGCAGGAGACATACGTGCCTACAATATCAAATATAATATCAACCAATCGTCGATTTGGATGAGTCGTGAAAGTGTGGGGTGAGAGTGCAAGGCCGAAGGAAGAACTGCTGAACTTCAGTCGCCTGACTGAGCGGTTCAAATGACGCAGATATAAAATAGGACGCCACCCTCCATCCTTCCTCGGAATGGTGAAGTACTGACTGTAGAACCCGGACTCTGCTAAAGTACGAGAAGTGACGCCCCCAGAATGAGGAGCTGGAACACGGTAGGTTGGGCTGCTCCCGCCCAGCAGCCCCTGCTGACCGATCTGAATCGCCGCCGTGCCTCAGCAATAGCGGGACCGAACCGCGAGCTCTCAAGCACGGACACACTCCTTGGAGCGTGCCTGGCGGGAGCAGAGCATTCAGTGGGGAGAAGCACAATCAGCCCCTTATTTCCGAGAGCTGACTGCGCGAGTCTTTTTCTTTTTGTTTCATAATAGTATTGACATAATGCTTGTGTGACTGTAAAACAGTTCCGCTCCACGGTAAAGCTGCTCATTATAATATTAGGCATAATATGCTTGTGTAACTGATGCTTGTGCAACTGGCAAGCTCATCGACGCCCTCATCAACCTCCTCGGAGGAAGGACCGCAGTGCGGGCTTCCGAACCCCCAGAGCGGGCGCTGTATCTGGTGGTTA